CCTTGAACATAGAATAAAACTCCCAGAAGTTTTTTAACTATTAAAATAAGTTTTGTGAATTGTAACATCGTAATATTCGAATTATAATTAATCTCGTAATTTTTACAAGCCATTAATTGATACAAATCTTACATTCTGATATTACATAAATTACATAAATTTCACTATTGTAACTTACATTCGAATACCTTTTTTATCTCAGGAGTTTCATTAACAGGACCTGTCATATTTTTTATAATATAATTGAAAGTACATCCTGGCTGAGGAGTTTTTCCTCCGTTCGGATAAAATTCAACGTGTCCGGTTGTACTAGGAAATATTCTAGTTTTTGCCGTATGGATCAGATCCACAAAATCCGCATCATCCTTCTGCAATGTTTTTTTTAAATAAATAAAAACATCCCATGTACTTATAGATATGGGTCCTTTCGGGTTTAGACCTGCACAGAAGTATGGTTGTTGATTTTCTCATAAGTACCTAATATTTTCAATAATAAATAACGTTAATTTTGACTTTATTTTACACACCTGTGATTCTACCGATTTTCATACCCGTCAACTCATAAACATTAGCTCCACATGCACCAAGAACATGAGCACCAAGATTATGTCCTATCATGTGTATATTAGAAGGCATAATAAGCTTCAAAGCGACTAGTTTTGTCAAAAAATAACTTAATGCAAGTCCCGCAGGTTTACATCCTTCGGCTATATATATGTATTCATAGCTATACGTTAGGTTAGCCCAGTCCAAAGTTATGATGTTATACTCATCAAGGTAGTTGAATAAGTAAGCTAGGGCAAAGAAAGTTTCAATACTAAGACATACAATACATGATAACCCATTAAAATTTATAAACAATCATTTAATCTTCTTAAATGAAAATCTGTATTATGATATATATATTATTTTATTATTTATTACTGCTCGACTTCGCGGAAATATTGTGATCAATAACCAAACTATGATATTAGGTGATTAGTTACTAAAATTATGTTTTTAATTCCAAACTTATCAATTAGAATAAGACAGAGGTAACTAGAGCCTAATTATGAAGGTACAAAAATTAAATTATGCTTACCGCAGTATTTGATCAACGATAATAAATGTTGCGCATTTATCAGTTATCTGGAGAGTCTTAACTGCAATGAAAGTGCAAATAAATTCTCAAAGAAAGTAAATACATGTTTAAATCATTTCTACTCAATTTATACTATTTGTAGACTTTATCATTATGTTATTTTAATTTAATTTTTAAAGTTTGATTAATTATTGCGTTTGCATAATGATATATCTTTTTTGGGGTTGAATGGATAATTTTTTTTT